GCAGAGACCTCTTGTCCACCACAATGGTAAAGGGAGCAGGTTCTACCAGTCATTTGAGGAAGGGACTGGTGAGGAGCATTTCCCCAGAAGCCAGGCTGGGATTGGAGGTCAGAAAATAGCCAGTTGCCTAATACTAGTGCTGCTTCCTCAATTCCCTCAATCTGAATATTGGCTAAAGGTCACTGGTCAGGGGTTTTGATGGTATGCCAGCTGTTGGCTAGGACCACAGATCAGATGATTCACTGTGAATCCCAGTATTTCACTGCTAATTCCAATCTCTATAAACTTCCAATTGTTACACATAATGTATCACCGAGGTTACGCTGAAAAAAGTTGTGGATATATTCCTTGAATGGCAAGGCTCTGTTGTATGTGACTACTGAAAATAAAGTATCACGCTGGTCACTTGGATAGTGCTAAATAATGATAACTTAGCAACGTCTGTATAAACAGAAACCTGGAGAGGTTACCTGCCCTCTTACGGTGATATCTTTGCTACGGTGATATCTTTGCTCCCTCCTACACCAACATTCCATGGACTACTGTGGCCCCCACTCCCCTTCACATACATGGTACAGGTACCACCTTTGCTCTGCCCCACCTAGTGGCTTAAGAACTAATATGTTTGAAGCCGGGCGCTGGTGGCTCACGCCTGTAATCCTAGCTACTCAGGAGGCTGAGATCTGAGGATCGCGGTTCAAAGCCAGCCCGGGCAGGAAAGACCGTGAGACTCCTATCTCCAATAAACCACCAGAAAACCGGAAGTGGCGCTGTAGCTCAAGTGGTAGAGCACTCGCCTTGAGCTGGAGAGCTGAGGGACAGCGCCCAGGCCCAGAGTTCAAGCCCCATGACCGAAAAAAAAAAAAAAAAAAGAACTAATATGTTTGAGAAGTTCTGTCTTCAGGGTGCTGGTGGCCTAAAGGAATGGAACATACAACAGTCCACTCATATGTTCTTTCTCTTCTGAGGAACCTCTGTAGTAAAGTCTCTTTAGAGCTGAAAGTAGCCATGAAAAGCCCATCTGCAGGAGAAAGGGAGAAAAAGCTAGGTCAAAGCCCAGCTGAAAGAGAACTGGCAGGAGGCTTAGAGTATAGGTTTACAGGGATATTGATGTTTGTATGGATCAGTGGCTGGCTGGATGAGTGGATGGATGGATAGATGAATATATGGATAAGAGAAACTGGAGTACTAAACAAATTGACCCAGCATTTCCATTTACGCCTATTGAACTGGTGGCAGCAGGGACTGGCAGCCAGTCTTCCATTGACGTCAGCAATCAGCAAGTGCAGATTTAAATCTCCACAGCAGAATGCTCCTGAGCCCTGGTAAATAGGACTGGTAATTGAATTAGAAAACATTCTGAGCTGTCAGTTAATTATGCTGCTCAGGCAGTTGCTTTGTCCAGGTCTGTTTCATCCTTGAATCACTTGAATGGGCTTGTCACTGGGAGGGAAGGTCTTTTTCTATGAGAGAGGCACATATTTATGTCTCTCTGAGTTCCCCTAAGCTCCTTTGGGTCATTCTTTGGCATTCTACTTTGTTGCAGACATTGTGATATGAGTTTTGGTAGGCATTAGTTTTGTTCTAGCTGTGTTTTATTTTGATTTTTATGAATGTGATGATTGGAATACTCATAGTATTCTAATCCTCAACTGCTTTTTTTCTTTCTTAAGGACAGATAACCAATTTGATTTCTTTTGGTTCTTGAGCAACAATATGATATAACAAATTAACAATGCCCAGTCATGCTTAACATTAAAGCTATTGTTGGTTTAAAAAAATCTTAATAAAAGGTGCAATCATTCCAACTTCAGGACTTCATGCATGCAAGGCAAGCCCTCTACCACTGATCACATTCCCTGCCCTGCCCTGTTGTTTCAGTGAAAGAAAGTGACACCATCTTCCCATTCCAGCTGGGAGGGGAGAGTGAGTATAGCATGCTTTGACAGCAGCTGCTTTTGGAAGAGGTCTGCAGTGGAGATGGGACACACCCTAGGCCTGCAGGAGAATAGGAGGCCACCTCCTTACTGAGAGCTTCTCCAGGCTGGACTTGGAGGAGAGACTGTCTTCTCAGCTTCTGCTTTTATGTAATCCCAGTCTTTTGCACAGGTTTGTGTTCAGGAGTACCTAAAAAGGCCTCCTGGTTTCCGGAACACAGTATTTCCAATTCCAAATGGGCTGGTTTTCCACTGAGGGAGCCTGGCAGAATCAGGGTGCTTCTTGGCCTAAGTTTGAAGTTAGATACAGGTTTGTGTTCTGTAAGACATACTATCCCAGACCACAAAGTCTTGGACTTTGAATGTCTCCTTGGGAGTAGGAGCTGTTTGTGTTTATCTTTGCATTCTTGATGTTTACTTAATTAACCCATTGCTTAAATAGCCCAGTGACTTGTTGAACTGAATTAAACTCATTTATGTAATATCCTTCCCTCACTCTCTTTATCTACTTGTCTCTCTTTCCAGTGAGTTTTTCCAACTCTCTAAGGCCAACCACATATTGGTAAATAAAACAGGCTCAGTCCTTGAAATCTAGGCATAGAGGGTAGAAGGACAAACAAAAGTTAACTAACAGATACATAGGACTTGAACTCTCAGCCTTGTTGCTGTCCCTGAACTATTGCTCAAGGCTGGTACTCTACTACTTTGGACCACAGCATCATTTCTGCTTTTCTGGTGGCTAGTTGGAGATGAGTGTCAGACTTTCCTGCCTGGGCTGGCTTTGAATTGTGATCCTCATCCAGTCTCCTGAGTAGGATTACAGGTGTGAGCCACCTGTGCCTGGCAAGACTTTTTTTTTATAGGTCATGAGGCCCGAACTCTGGGCCTGGGCACTGTCCCTCAACTCTTCAGCTCAAGACTAGCACTCTACCACTTGAGTCACAGCACCACTTCCGGCTTTTTCTGCTTATGTGGTGCAAGGCAAGTACTCTACCACTGAACCACCTTCCCAGCCCCACAACTTATTTTCTAAACTTTCAACTGATCACTGAAAACTTTGTGTCTAGCTTTGCCTTTCTATGATTGCTGGTAAGATCGAACACTATTTCATATGTTTATTATCCCTTGTGTTCCTCTTCTCTGTTCATGTCCTTGGTCAATTTTTTTTCCTATTGAGTTATGTCTTCTTACTGATTGTAGGAAGTTTCTGTAATCTTGACGTGAATCCTCCATTATATATACTGCAAATACTTGCATTTCTCTAGAAAGAAATTGAAAGGAATTGCTCTAGAAAGAAAGTGAAAAATTGCAGTTGAGTCCATGGACCCTGGTATTAAATTAAAGGCTGGTCTGAGCATTGTTCTAGTACCTATAAGAATGAAGCTTTTATTGGGGAGTATCTTGAAGTGGAAATGGCACTTGCGCTTGCAGGAGTTTGCTCCAGTTTCCATCTTTCTATCCCAGTACCTCATCTGTACATCCTGAACAAAAGACTGAACAGTTCTTTTGGCCTGAGCTAGGTTCATTCTGTTTGCAAGAGCCCAGCCTTTATTCCTGTGTCTCTTCCCTAAGCCTCTTCTCTGTCAGAGCCCTCAAGCTGTTAGCTGGTAAAGCGAAGTGCATCTCTGGGGAGCACAGGGCACTGCCAGAATCCCAGTTGGGAAGCATCTCCAAGAGTTGTGTTTGCCAAGCACGATATCATTGTGTGCAGGCATTGTGGGAATCTGCCAAGCTCAGAGGTAGGCTGCCAGTCCAAATGCCACGTTGACATGACATTTACAAGTTTAGAATCTGGAAAAGGATTGGTGGTGGAACACCTCTCAGCTGTCTTGTCTAGGTGGCAGGAACTGTGCCAGCTTTTCACTTCCAGACTCAAATCGTTGTCAGGAAGTAATATTTCATATAGAATTTGTAGCTTTCGCCACGACTTTTTCTAGGAAATGATAAATCCTGTAAGCTGGCTGACTTTGCGTGTGCTAGAACAGATTTGAATGAAACTCTTATCATAGGCTCACTGTGGAAACCTGAGTGAGTAATGTCTCCTTCCTCCTAGGAGTTCTTAAATGGAGTAAATATAGTTAAAAACGAAAGCACTTTTGGGGATGGGAAGGTGGCTCAATGGTAGAATGCTTGCCTCGCATGCATGAGGCCCTGGGTTTGATTCCTCAGCACCACATGAGCAGAAAAAGTGGTGCTGTGGCTCAAGTAGTAGAGCATTAGCCTTGAGCTGAAGAGCTGAGGGACAGCGCCCAAGCCCAGAGTTCAAGCCCCATTTCTGACCAAAAGAAAAAAAAAAGCACTTTAAATATACCAGCCCTTACGTATTTAGGATCTGTTTAAAAAGTGTAAAAGCACTTATGACACTCTTCAGAAACCCACAAGAAACTCAGTTTTTCCTTGTTCTGATAGTTCAGTAATAAGTACATAGGATTTTGCAGGGTTGTGCTATTACAACATGAATTGTTTATCTGCGTTCGCTCTCTGACTTAGGCATTACTGGAACACTGTGCACAAGCATCCAAGACATAATTTTTTTTTTCCTCTTCAGGAAGATTTAGGGCTGAAGTCAGGATCATTTATATATTTGGAATTTCTGCAGATTTTTTATTTGCAGAAATCTTTTGGGTGTTAAGGGTTCATTTCAAGCTTTGTGAGAGACCTCCCTGTAACCACAGCATTCAGAAGGTAAAGGTAAAAGAGCTAAGTTCAAGGGCTACCTGCATCATAAAGTGAGTTCTTGGCCAGCCTGGGCCACATAGCAAGATCCTCTGTCAACCTGCCCCCCAAAGAATCCATTTCAGTAGCAGGGGCTCAGTGACTTGGTGCTTTTCTTTGGTGCATTCTAAAGTAAAATAAAGACCTGGCACTATTTTGAAGGATGTTCTGTGACTTATTAGGGAGACATTTGTTTATTGTTTAATTGATTGCTATACCAGATACTTGGTCTTGATTCAGATCTTTTATCCTGATCTGGTACCTATATAAGCTTTTTTTCTTTTGCTGCTTCTTTAGGAGCTATGTTCCTCATTAATGAAATTCTGTCCTTTTCCTCCTATTTTTCAGGTCTTCAAAGCTGTTTCGGGCATTCTACATCCCCTTCCTGTCAGATCAGTATACAGTGTATGTGAACTACACCATCCTTAAACCTCGGAAAGCAAAGCAAAGTAGGAAGAAGAGTGGAGGTTAGCAACACACTCGTGGCCCCAGTGGACAGCCATCTTGTTACCTGATTCCATTGACCTGACTCCCTCCATATCATCACCTGTAACTTTTGTAATAAAGTCATCTGACAGGAACACCGGAATCCAGGTGCTCTTGGCTAATCAGTCTGTTTCAAATTCTAATTAAAGTTACATTCAATTCTTGCCTGTATCAATGTACTGCCTGTAAACTTTTTGTAGATAGGCAGAGAAAAGCCCTAAAGCACCAGTAGATATATGGCTCCACGACTCATTGTTTTTCTTCTGTTCAATTACTTACTAGACCGGAGAAGAGCAGAACCAACTTACAGGAAGAATTGAAAATCCCCGGGCTGGATGGCTATGTTAAGCTGTTCTCCACATTGTGGCCTCACACCCAAGAAGTAGCAAGCCTCTCTCAGGATGAAGGGGCTTCTCCACCAAAGCTATCTGGCCGCTCCTAGGAGACCTTCACGCTCCAATCCTAGTACTGAAAGTGAGCTCAGCTTAGTCGCCAACTGACATGTCCTTTCCACCTTCAGCAAGACTAACTTCTGTGAAGCACTTTACAGGGAGGACTATCTCAGGAAAAAGGCGACCACTTGAGGAACTGTGACTTAATTTTGTTACAGATGATGCCTCTGACTTTCATTTTATTTCCTTTACAACCACCTTGAACCTTGTTTGTTTTAACTTTAGCATGCTATATCTTGAATTCTGGATTCTGCTGTACAAAGGTATCAACAGCCTAAATTTGTATAGGGCAACCTTGGAAAGAATTAATTCTCGCCATTGGTACAGTCGAATGCCAACACTTTCTAGGTAATGCATTCTGAGGCCATCTCTGAGGAAGCTAGTGAAAAGGACCAGTGTATACTTGTAACACATGGTTTTTCATTCTAGTGCAACCTGCCTGGGCACTCTAGTAGGCAGTGATTAAGACCCAGTTCACACGCAGTAAGTACATTCTATTACGTACCTTAACACACAGTATTTCACAGGTTCCAAGGCATTTTCACAGCATCTCAGTGTCCTCAGTCACCATGAGGGGGAGGCCTGGCAGGTGAATGTATTACCATTTTGCAGAGGAGGAGAGTGGTAGAGGTAAAATGACTTGCCTGGGGAAATCCAGGTTGCGTGACTTCCATGCTTCCCCGTTCAGCTGTGAAAACATGATGTGGTAGAGGATGAGGTTGGCCAAGACCTGGTTGATATTACAACTTTCTATTTTAAGGAAGAGTTTTACCTATATTTCTTAGTTCTTTGGCACCTCCAACATGCCTGTGTGTAAAACCTATCAGCGCAATGCTAGGTGGCGGAGCCAGGCCCACAACAGGGCATACCATCACACAGGCACTGTTCCTATTGCCCATCGGGGTCGTAGTATTGGTGCCCTATTCTACTAAGCTGATGCTAATATCTGAAAATAGGATGGAGCTATTTGTTAGAATTTCCATCTTTAATTTTTTAGAGAAAGACTTCCCAGTAGGAACTAAGAAATGCTAGTTACCATATAACATGTCTCTTCTTGAGAATTCATTGTAAAGGAATAGCTGAGCTGGTGTTGAAGCAGAGAGAGAATAGGTCTAGGCAGAATAGTAAAGGAAGAAAGACCTTTGACATTTAAGTCTCCATGCTCAACTACTGTCTTCCAGAGCAAATAGCGGGTATATGATCTGACAACAGGACAGCGCACTATAAGTGGAGCATCTTGCCTTATGTTCGGTAACAGTGCTGTCCTCCACAGTAGCCAAAGTCCTTTCTTTTTTGTAGGGATGTGTAAGAGTCCAAGCTGGGCATAGTGGCTCATATGCCTGTAATTCTAGCTACTTGGGAGGTAGAGATGGAGAGCATCACACTTTAAGGCCATCCTAGACAAAAAAGTTTAAGAGATTCCCATCTCAGCCAATTAAAACAACACCAGTGTGGTGTGTGCCTGCCATTCCAGCTACATAAGAGGGTAAGATTGCGGTCCAGGCTGGCCTGAATGTAACTATGAGATCCTATTTGAAAAAGTACTAAGGTAAAAAACACTGGGAGCATGGTTCGGGGTAGAGCGCCTGCCTAGGAAGCACAACTCCAAGAAAAACAAGTCCAGCAATGTGGTTAAGTGGAGAGTAGCCTTTTTTCTAATCAAAGTGGTAGAGCGTTCAAGGAGGAAAGGGTACAACCTGTGGTAGCATGCATGAGGCCTTATGTTTAAGGCCGTGTGTGTGTGTGTGTGTACACACGTACACATAAAAACATGGTATAGCATTGATCTATTTTATCATTTAAAAAAAAAATCAAAGACTTGAGAGAGAACTTAAACATAGCCCAGAAAATAAAATGATCCAGGCAGGGTTCCTGTGAGAATATGACTTCTGCTTTGAAAACCTCATTTTTTTCCTCTCATATGTATCCTTTTGATGAGAGCATAATGAATTGCAGAATACTGTGCTAAATGCTATATGTTGTAAAGATCATAAAAGTGATATTTTCTGAACATTAAAAAAAAATCGCCCCTCTCTTAGTAATATAGGGAAGTTAGATTTGCCTGAGAAAAAGTGTATTGAGACACTTGGTCAGAGTAGCATTTCTCCTCCAAAGAACCAGAGTTCCACATGAGCTTCTGCTCTGCTCCCTGTAAGGAGAAAGTAGATAAGGTACTTATTTCTCCATTGGTTGTTGAGTATCAAAGAAGGAGGGACTTTGATTATGGGCTAAATGAGGAGTGAGTACACTTGGTCAGTCTCAGATTCTCTGATTCTTAGCTCTGAAGTGCCTTATCTGAACTTAGCCAGACTATGTGGTAGGCATCTATTTTCAAAATGTCCCCTCAACTCCTAGGTGTCATTGATTTTTAAAAAAAAAAAATCAAAGACAGGTCCTTTTAATCTCTTGGGATAATCAAGGAAAATTGCAGGCCAAATTCTGTATTGTCAAATTTGAAATTCAGAGGAAGACTCTTGGTTTTGAATAGAGGTGGTTCTTGATCAGAACCATGGATTTAAGTCATTTTTACTGGTCTGGAGTTTGGGGAAAAAACTGTGAAACCCCAATGTGAATCTGCAGCATGAGATACCAGAAGCAATCCTCTATTGAGTATTTTTGCGTTTCCTGGGATTTATTGAATTAAGAAATCACTGTGATTGTGTGGTCATCTGGCCAGTCCCAGGCAGCTCTGCTTTTACTTTGGTTAAATGAGGCACAGTCAAACCTTTACATCCACAAACAAAGCTCACATGTTAATCTGTTCTTATGCTTCTACATGAAATGCCTTGAGTAAATGCTTTATACACACCCCATTCCCCTGCAGCAGAGATCAGGGTGTTGACATTAGGGGTAAAAGGCTGGAATTTGGTCCCCTCCCAGAGAAGTCAGTGAGCAGCAACTGTCACTTGGTGGCCTGAGTCCTTAGATAAAGTCTGGAGAAGTTTCATGAGGCATTGATGGACTGAAAAAGATACTAAAGAGCAAATAAATGTCCCTAGCTACTTCTGGCATCTGGCAACTAGATAGAGGAAAAGTCAGGTAACAAAGGCAAGAATATAAATTCCTGTCCAGTTAATAAGTAGACAGGTATGGATACTCGATGGGCAGGCTTCTTTCTTCTGTTGACCTCCTGGCTTTGGTTAATTTTGAAAGGGCAGGCACAAAGTTGCTGATAGGACATCATCGCCTCTTATTCCTCTCCATGGTCCTTTGTTCCCCAGACTGGCTAAGTCTAGGTGCTCAGTGCTGGGATGATTTTTCCCAGTTAGTATTCATGGAGGTTTGAACTCAAGGCCTGGGCACTGTCCCTGAGCACTTGTGCTCAAGGCTAGTGTTCTACCACTACCACTGTGTTTGGCTGGTTAGAGATAAGCGTTTTGAGCCATGCTTCCAGCCTGGCTCTTTGCAGGTTAGTTAGGAGATGGAGTCTTAGGGATTTTTCAGCCCGGGCTGGCTTTGAATTGCAATCTTTGCCATGAAAACCCTTTATTATTTCCAATTAAAGCAACAAGGAGATCAAATAGAATAGAGCTTACCTGGTCCTTATCAAGAATTGACCAAGAAATATTCTGCAATGACAAAACTCATTAGATGTGAGAATCTTAGCACAGATATGCCCCGTATTTTAGAATCACGTAGTCAGTACTAGAATACATAATACAAAAAAGGCAAAACTCAAAACCTAAAATTTTGACAACAATGTTTAGACATCTTTGCTAACAAAGCACATCAGATGTTTGGGCCTCAGTTACCAGGGTCTGTGAAAAGAACAACTTGTTAGCAAGGCACCTTAGAATAGATGGGGGAGTAGTAAGCTTGGTGGAAGGGTAAGGGTCAGGTGGGGCCAAACCCTTAACCCACCATGTGGCCAAGATGGGGAACTCAAGATGGCAAATTTCTGAAAAAAATGCAAAGAAAGCCTGAACAAATAGATCAAGCCTACATTGGCTAGCCTTTGAGAGGGAACCTAGAAGGGGGTCCCCAGGACCCAGCCTGCGTCGTACTCTTCAGGGCACAAGCTGAAATGTAGAAAAGTGGAAGGGAGAGATAGGGAAAGTTGGACATGATTGGCAGAGAGAGAGCAAAGAGAGCCTGAAAGTAAACAGACTTCTTGGGTTTTTTTTTTTTTTTTTGGTCCGGTTTGTGGGGCCTAACTCTGGGCCTGGACACTGTCCCTCAGCTTTTCAGCTCAAGGCTAGCGCTCTATCACCTGAGCCACAGCGCCACTTCCGGCTTTTTTTCTTTTTGCTTATGTGGGGCTGAGGAATCGAACCCAGGGCCTTGAGCATGCAAGGCAAGTGCTCTACCACTGAGCCACCTTCCCAGCCTCAGTAAACAAACTTCTGACCATTTACCATTGCGGAGGCAAAAATTGTCTAAATCTGAGAACAGCATAAAAAGATTAGGCGCTCTGGCTTTCCAGGGAGCACAGGAGGCATTTCAGAGGGGTTTCACTGCACTGGAGTGACACACAGCACCCTACTAAAGGTGTAGGAGAGAAGAAATTAGTGAGTGAAGGAGGGCTTGTTGGATAGAAGTGGCGTCCCTCTAGGGAGGAGTGGCTAAGCAACCAGAGTCAAGTGTCCTTGACTCCAGAGGTGACCGGACTTTCAGTTAAAGGCCTAGCAGGTTCTCCGGCGTGGTACCACATCTGGAGAGAGACTGAGTGACAGAACCCTTAGAAAGTAGTTCACTCAGCAGAATGTAGAAGCGTGGAGG